GAACACGTTGTAACGCTGAGTCGGTAATACATTCATTGCATTTTATCGACTGTCTTGATTGTTATTTTGCAATAATATTTAATTAAACAATATCTTATTTGCACGATGCTTTCAGTGTTTTGAATTTATATGAATAAAGCTTTATTATACATCTCGTACGCAAAATAATTATTGCATTTTTTCTTCATACTTTAATTTAATTTTACTTATTCAAAAATGCATGTTAATTTGAAATCAAATTCAATTACCAAAAAAAGAACAATTTTAAATATATTTATTTAAATATCTACGGATTAAAATAAAATAAATATAATTGCGACAAATTGTGATTTGATTTCCATTGAAAAGAATTCGTCAAATTATTATTCGTTTCCGTTTTGAATTATGTATTTTATATTAAAATTTCAAAGAAAAAAATCTCAATAGGTTCTCCAAAACACTATATATACATCATACTTCCTGCATTCTTTCTTCGATTCTTCAATCCTGACTTTAGTATTAGACCTTCGGTGACACTCGGATTGATTAATTCTTTTTTTTTTTTTTCTTTATTCTAACGAACGAACGTCTGTGTGCGACATCTCGTATATATACATTTCATAATCCACAACAGGATATATCTGCAGGTTTTCCGGTTGTCCTTGATATTTCAGACATATTGGCGCGTAATTGCGGTAGATCGCGAAGCGAATTTAAATTTGCCTGCGCGTTAACGCTATCTTAATTCTTGCCTACCTTGAGCCGGAGTATCGGTCAATAGTATAGTATGCGAAAATTAGATACATGTTTGAAAAATGATAACGCTTTATAGCCGGCTCTTGTCTGTCGACATGCACATCGCACCACGTGAAACGTGGGAACGGGATCCGAGCAGTTTCGAGAGTTAATGATAAAGTCGGATTTTTTTTTCATCGTCAAATGATTTATTGATGCTTTCTATCAACATTACAAATGTGTGTAAGATGAAAAAAAAATGAAAGAAACTCGGAAAGAGTATCGATATTTTCATTATAATATTTTTCTTTTCTTAATTAATTATATTTTCAGTACTTTATAATAAAATATTATTACATTGATCTTTAGACTCAATCAAATAAAATAATAAGATGTGAATAGTAAACAATTTTTAATATTCGCTAATTTATTTAAACTTATTTTTAGTTTAGGGAAAAATTTACGAATAATTAAATAAAAGTTCTTGATAACTGTATGACATACTTATGTGATTGTATTTCAATTATTTTCAGTTAAATAAAACGTAACAAGTTTAATTATAATTACATTTTTGTTTGTTATCATCGAATATATATAAAATATGAAAAGAATTAAAAAAATGAAAAACTTGTAGTTTTTACAAATATTTCTTGATTTGTTTTTTTTTTCCTTTCGGATGTTTTTGTTATCGATACTTCTTTTCCGATACAAATGTATTATGAATACACATCTTCCAAATAAGTCAGGTATCGATATTTTTCGCTCGATATCCTGATCCTGAGGTAGATAAACACTGAGCCATCCAGAAGGTGATCTATGAACACAACGAGATTATTCAATTCCAACAGAGAGTTCGAGATCTTTCTGATGAATGATGATTGTTCTGCGGAATATCAATGTTGATGCTGCTACAACAAGAACAGATCTGGGCAATTATTTACAGCATGAAATAAAAAACGTTTCAAACTTTATCA